CAGAATTAGCAGGTGTTTTTTTAATTTGGAAAGTAGCTTTCATTTCTTTGATCACTTAAAAAGCCAGGTTACGAATTCAAGAGTTTGCCAATATACAGGTAATTGCATCTATAACTTAGAAGAGTTGTATCTTTCTAAGCACAGGATAAATCAGGATAAATCACCATCTCACACAAAGGAGTGGTCAAGTATCTGTAAGAAAATAAAACTCAATACCAATAAAGTAGTGGAAAACCATGAACTGCCCAGGCAATCCAATTTAGAGTTTAATACAAACAGCCTTACTCTACAGGCAAAAGCCTACTAAAACTGAACAGAAAAGTAACAACATCCTCATGGCCAAAAGTGTACATGAACATTCCTGCTGTTCAGTTCCCATAGGAGTCTTGTTTCTACAAGCTAAGAGGAAATGGGATAAGTTACTACTTTGCTTTTTCACTTTATTTCACTTGGAATTAAAATCTCCTGAGAGCAGCTTACAAGGCACTGAGATGGTAGGACTGAAATTCAGCCTCAATCTTTAGATCTGGCATTGCAAACCCCGCAGCACAGGCTCACAGCAGCAGCAGGCTGCAGCCCCAGCCTGTGACTGCTTCCTCAGCTCTGCTTTAGGAAGTCAGCACCAGAGGCAGAACATAATTCAGAAGACCAATGGCTAAAAATACATCCATGCTATGGTTGGTACCCAGAACTGATGCTCCCCATCTCTTACAGTTACTTAAAAAGGGAGGGAACAGGAAATACTGAACTCTTCCATATTTATCCTCTCAACACAGGATGTACAAGCACTGCCTACATCATGTGTCACAAAAATCTCAATCTTTGAATGCCTACTGGCCCATGAGAAAGAATTAAATAACACAGACATCTTGTTCATCATTTGAACTCCAAATCAAATCAGACTGTTTGCAGATCACAATAGATGCATGATTGCAATGAAAATCTCCTAGCAGTGCACACAAGATGTATATCTGCAGTGCATGCTGATTGGCTTCCAAACACCAGCAAGAGTCTAAGCTGCCAACATGACAAAACTGTTGACAGAGAATCTACTGACACCAATTATTCATGTTCTGGCAATAATGGTGTGGTGTGGGGTAGTTTTCTTCATGAAATACATGCAGATACACCAGAAAGAAATTGGGAAAAAAATTTAAGACCTGCTAAAGCACATTGCAAGAGTGTGTCAGCCTGTGGAGGTGCTGCTCTGGTTAATACATTCAGTAGCAATGGTGCTTGGCATTGTTAGGCTAGAGTGTCACTGCCAGAGAGTCTCAGAAATGGTCAGACCTGAAAAGTTCCTCAACATGTATGAAAGACAATAAAATAGCGTAACAAAATATCACTCAACAAGTTTAGAAACAGTACAACCGAGGGTAGATAAATTTAAATAAAGAAATAATTTGTGAGTAAAAAATATAACCTTGCATTTTTACATTTATAACTGAGAGGAATATAGAATCCTACACACCTGTCTGGACAGTGTAAAGGAGACAAGTCAAACACAAAGACGGTAGAAGGGGTTCTGTTACATGTAACTGCAAAGAAAAGAGAGACTGTTTTCTATCACAGGCTTGAAGGCTCAGTTTCAAGGGGGAAAGCTTGAGTAGCAAATCAGAGGCAGCTTACCAGCCTTTCATTCAGCAGAAAGGGATAACTGGACAGTTCAGCTACAGCTCATGGGATTCAGGTGAAAGTCTGTGCTCTACGTCTGACTTTAAAACACAGTTTTTCAGTAGTTCATTTCACTATAAAAAAGAAAAATACTACTGTCTTGATTTTACAGCAGGCCTGTAAGGACACATGTAAGACATGGATGGAATGGTAGCAGGGCACCCTTAGCATTTAGAATACAATGAAATTGTATCTGTGTGAACATGCAAGTGCGATTTGCCAGTAGAACACTGCAAAAGCACGAGTCCCAAAAGCTGTCATAGGCACATCTCCAGCACTCACACAATGAGTGGGCAGAGGAGAGTTTCAGCTAAGTTCCATATGGAATGAAGATCAGGACCAGATGCAGCTGAAATGTGAATGGAGGAGCCACACAGAGATGTAGCATCATATAACTGGGATTACAGGGGGCAGCTCCAGTGTTGCTGGCTCCCCTGCTACACCCTGTTGGTAGAGATTTATAGACAAATATATTAACTGGCCTCTGAGAAAAAACATTCCAGATTCTAAACATCCCAGTCTTTATGAAGGAATAAAGGAAGCAGTTGCAGAGCTACAGTCATAGAGATTCGGTCTATAACAATTAATATGTAATTGCACCATTTGTACCAAATGCAAAAATAAATCATGAAATACCAGCTTTCTCCATGCGGAGATTCATTGAACGGGCATCTAGATAAGTGCATATTTGCTGTTAATAAACTTTTTGTGCTTTTCTCTGCACCAGCATTGTATGGAGTGGAAACTATGAAGTTCAGAGCTCTAAGCATATGGAATTTTCCAGGTCACATGTTAAACCAAGTGCGGGACTGCGCTGGGCAGAGAACACTGAGAGGAAAAAAGCCCTGAATTCTAACCATATGCTTTGAAATGAAACAATATGCTCATTCTGTTACAGCTCAAAACTTTTCTAACTGCTTTATGGTTAGCAGTAATAAAAAGGGAAAGTAATCTTGAGATAGAATTTACTGTCAAGCAGCAAGTAATTACAGCAGAGTAATGAGAATACCCAATGTATGTATGGCAAGCATGACGCAATACAACACTGATTGAGTTGTACCATTTCCATCATTACATTTATTAGTGTGCTATACAAGGATAAAAAACTGACAGGAATTAAAATAAGTGGGGCTTGGGTCTTTTTTTCTAAGTATTCCATGCTAAGAATTCCATCTTGGAAAGGATCATGAAAAATAACTTTTCCTTCTGCTAACTGAACTAAGATCAGTAGCAGGGAAGCAGGACTATTCAAGACCTTAACATTTAATTCCAATTATAGCAAAGGCTATTCACTCAGAAAAGAAAAAATCCCACACAGAAAGTAGGATAAGGCCAGTGGATGGAACACACCTTAGAAAAGCATCCACAGCTACATTGTATCAGCCCCATGCATGACCCAAAATTCACTGCAGAGGCAGCCCCCTTTGACAGAGCTGGAAGGGTTCTGCTGGACATATCCCTTCAAAAACCCCCATGTTCCTCTGCTTATCTGATTACAGCCATTGCCATTAAATAGTCAGAATTCTTCCAGGTTAGAAATTGCCATTAGTTTCTAGCAATTGAAGACAGTCCACAAAATTAATTAATTGTACTCAAATACAAACTTGCTCTTCCTACTAACTGTGCTTTTTAGGGAGGTGATTTAGGTTGCTTTTGACAACCATAAATGCAAACAAGAACAACAATAACAAAAAGAGAATGAGAGAGAGACTAAAATCCTTTCAGGTCTCAGATTCTGTGCTTGGTGTGGCATCTGGGATTATTTCTGTAATATAATATTGGGACTTTCCTGTTGCTACGTTGTTTCTGTTGCTACCTTGTTTGTATCACGACTGTAGATTCCCCACATATTCTGCAGTCAAATTTTGCATTGGCTTTTCACAACAGGATCCTAGAATCGCTTTGGTTTAGATGCTTCTAATGATACTAATTTATGAAATTATGTTCAGCAGCATTTAGAATGTCATTTTAAACTTAATGAAAACATCTGCAAACAAAAGTCAGAATTTGTTTTCATGAAATAAAACCCATAAGAGTCTTAATAGTATGGGCTGAGATTATGAAAGCAGTGTCCCAAATTACTTGAGAATTAACTTTTCACTCCAGAGGTTGAAGATTTTGTTGGTGCTTTCCAGGGTCAGAAAGTTTGAGGTATTTTGTCTCTTCAGGCTCAACCTGATTTGAAGGCAGGGAAGCAACCTTAGAACATAAAATGGGCTTCATTTTTAGTATTATAGCATTGCACAAGATAAGCCATCCCTGGAAAGAATTTGACAGAGCCCTTCAAGTTAAAAGAAATACTTTTTTTTTTTTTAATCTCATGCTTTATGTTAAGAAAAAGTCTTCACACTTGTCAAGAGTGTCAAGCTTGATCTGATGCAATAGATAATTTTCTATATGCAGCCTGAAAGCAGCATCCAGACATGGCTTTTTCCAGCAACAGGGGTGTGTGGTTTAGGGGAGAGAATTCCAGACTCAAGCTGTGGTCCACAGCTACAGGCATAAACCTCTGGCTGGAGCTTCAGCATGCTGCAGGTAAGTGTTGAAGGCCCCAGGCAGCTTTTAGCATGTGGTATATCCATGGATCCATCAGATCTCTAGGGCCTGTTTTAGGATGGTGTTTGGCTCCCAGTTAGAACAGTACTTTTTGCTACTACTTTCCTGAGATTTTTGTGCTAGAATTTCAGTCCCATTTGGTCTATAGCAGCAAGAAAAACTAGAAATGCATAAAAGCAAAGGGTAAGATCTGACTAACCTCAGAGCTGAACAAGTGACCTCAACCCTCTGAATTAAGGGATTGTTCACATCTGTAGTAGCTTGTACGACAGAAGCAAAGCCTGCAGAATCTAACTTAGACCAGTTTTCACTTCAAAACCATCTAATGGCATGGCCATTTACCAGATATTGCACCATCTCCCTCAGAAAAATATATAACCAGGAAGCAACAGAATTCAGACTTTCATTATTCTTCTGGACACTAATACCCAACAAGAACTGGCACTTGCCCATTGGCTTCCTCTCTAGTTTTTGAGGATACTCATCGTAAAGAGACAGAACCAGTGAAAAGAGACAAGGCGACTGAGAGAGAGATGCCCACAAGAAGAGTGATGGAAAAGACAGACGGCGATGCGCTGGCAATGCACAGGACGGTCATTTCTGTATTTCTGCGCTCGGCAGCGCTGCCTGGGGCGCTGCCCCGGGCCGCACCGCCCAACTCGTGCCAGAGCGGGGCCGGAGCCGCTCCCGGCCGCGCCCCCGCAGCCCCCGCCCCGCCCGGCCCCGCGGCGCCCGCAGCCAATGGCGCTCGGCGGGGCGGCGGCGGCGGGGAGGGAGCGGGCAGCGCTCCCCGCGCCGGGCACTGCTCCTGCTGCCAGAGGCGGCCCGCGGAGCCGGCACCATGGACTCGGACTCGGCCGAGCTCAGCGAAGGCGAGCTGGTCTCGCCCGCAGGTAAGGCCGGCTGCGCGGCGGAGGGGAGCGGGTCCGGGTCCGGTCCCTTCCCGTGCGCTGCTCTCGGTCCCCGTGCCCGAGGCGGCTCCGGGCAGCGCCATCCCCGCTCCCGGCAGAGCCCAGCGCCGCCCCCGGTCCCGCGGCTCTCGGGGCTCCGCTGTGCCCGGGTGCGGGAGAGCTGCCCCACGGGCTGTGCCGTGACCGCTGATTACATCGCGGTGCTGCCGCTAGCTGTGCTTTATACCCGGGGGCTGCGAAGTTTTCGGGGTTTGGTCGCGGCTGTTCCGCTGCGGCTCCGGGAGCACCGCGCGTTCCCAAGCGGGGCCGCCCCCGTCCGGAGCCGAGCCCCCGACATGCTCGGCTTTTGTTTTCAAGTCTTAACTTGTCACAGGAGCCATGCTGTCTGGTTGCTGCAACCCGCATAGTTCTTGGATGAGACAGAAGGAAAAAAAAAATTAAAAACCTCTCCTGCCCTTTCCAAACCTTCCCGTTCTTGTGGCTTACGCGAAACAAACGATGGGTGATGCGCCGTAGGCAAAGAACACCCTGCACACATGGTAAAACGGGGACAGCAAACTCGTGTGAAACACACAGAGGTAGGTTCGCTCTGCCGGCACAGCGCGTGGCCCCGAGATGCGCTGTCTCCTCCCGGCCACGGCTCTGGGTGCCCGAGCCTTGGGGCAGCGGGGGTGGCACCTGCCCGCAGCACAGCGGGCACCAGGGGTGCCACACACAGGCAGGACTGAGCTACAGGGATGTCACACACACACAGGACCGGGCTGCAGGGGTGTCACACACACACAGACAGGACCGGGCTGCAGGGGTGTCACACACACACAGACAGGACCGGGCTGCAGGGGTGTCACACACACACAGACAGGACCAGGCTGCAGGGGTGTCACACACACACAGACAGAGCTCTGGGCTGCAGGGGTGTCACAGACACACAGACAGACTGCACTGGGCTGCAGGGGTGTCACACACACGGCTGGCACCTGACAGATGCTCGGGCTGTCACTGACACCAGGTGCAGGAGGAACCTGTTTTGTTTGACCTCCAGCTTCCCACAGTGAAAGTCATAGACAGCCTTCTCTGAAGCCATTTAACTGGCATCAGATGCAAGTGCAATTGGAATGATGCCTGAAATACTCCCAGTGATCATAATAAATCCAAATAGAAAGTTGGCGTGTTATGTTATTAGATCTTTGAGAAAAATCTTTTCACCATAACCAGTCCAGTCTGCATGTGTACTTCATGCCAGCTAACACCCTCCTGCATCCCCAAAAAGAAGGATTTGAGCACCAATGTTCTAACTACAAAGGCAGAAAAGCATAATTTTTTTTAATAGTTCACCTGTCCTATTAATACAGCAGTGATAAACAACAGTAGGAAGTCATAAGATAAATGTGTTTTCCAGTCTCCCAGCAGAACATTTCATAGCATAATCTGAAATCTAATTCAGTTTTAAATATAGGTGCATTTACTCCTGATATCTTGCTTTGTATTTTCTTACTTGAGATGTAGCAAATTGAAGAAGACCAGCAACAGGTCACAGAGCTCCTTATTTTCACAGAGCTCTGGTAGGCTGAGCTTACTTGCAAAGACCACCAACAGCTATAATTTTTCATCCAAACAAATCTTCCAAGCCATGCATGAAGAGCAAGTTACAAACAGTACTTTATAGACAAATTAATATAATAGAGCTCCTGCCAACAATTCACTCCTGTTCTGAATAGGAATTTCTTTTAAATAAATTTAAAATAACTATGCTCAGAGATTGCCATAAGTGGTTTTCATATCATCACTTGCTAGCTGCCAAGAGTTGATGTTCATCAGTCTCCTTTCCTCTTTTCTATTCCTTCTTTGTTCCACTTAAGAGAAGAAAAAGCTGGTATTTTGACCATACATGGCAGATGCCTATACAGTAGAATAAAATTGGAATAGAGAGAAAGCTCGGATATTTTGTCTTACCCAGCTGCAATTTCTTTTTCCTGCACTAAAGAATTACATGTTCTTTGTATCCCACATGTCTTCTGAAAAATAGATATTTTTTCTAGCTTTCCTTGGGTGTTTTTCTGTTCTCTGCCATATGTGTGGTGCAGCCTCTCTCTGTACGTGGGTGTTCAGTCAGGCTGTCAGTCAGTGCTGCAGGCACAGCAGCTGAGGGGCTCAGAGTGGGGCTCAGCCACCCCCCTGCCCACCCCACACAGGGCAAGCAGCTCACAGTGCCTTGGGGGAAGATTTGGGATGAAGTCCTGGTGGTGGCTTGATTTTGGACACTGATTTTAGCACAGCTAGAATTTCACACTGAAGCTGACAGCAGCCCAGCGTTCAGCTCGCTCTCATTACCAGTCCTCACACTCGCCCGGGTTTCAGCTGGCACAGCTCGGGCTCCCTGCGGGCACTGCTGAGCCTGGCCCAGGCCTGAGCCCCTGGGTGCCCTGTGCTTTATCTGCAGGGCTGCACCACGCTGGTGCAACACAGATGTTTCAATCTCAGGGATTGCCCTGCTCTTGCACTGCTCTCCCGGCCCTTTGTCCTGCCCAGGGAGGGCACCCCTGCCATTCCTGGGCTCACAGGGGTGTGCAGGAGGATACCTGGTGCCCCCCCTCCATCTGCCATACACACATGGCTTCCAAGAACCAGCTGCAATCCTGCTCCGAGATCCCAGCAGCCTCTGTGCTTTAATAGCCCTCTTCAAACTCGAGTCTCAAGGAGGCAGAAGTATTTTTTCTGCATTTATTCCGAACACGTTGTCACAATAGCATCTTCATATTCATATGGTGCAAACAAAAGGCTCCTTATATGTGAGCAGTGCAAGATGCCAGCTGTACTTTAAAGCAAACAAACAGCAAAACCACCACACCTCTAACAACATCCAGCTCTACAGCCTTGGCTCCCACAAGCCTCCCACACCCATCTATTACTGCTCTGCTCTTGGGGTGTCTATAGGGTCAGAAAGCTTTGGTTTTCAAAAGTGGTTACTCATGAGACAGACTCCTAATAAAAGCATTAAACAGGTCTTCATGATTCTGAAAAAAAAATATGTATTTTGGTGGAAAAGTAGTAAAGTTACATGCTTGTTAGCTAATGAAATTTCTAGTTTTACTGTAGAGGTGACTAGTCATATTCTTTTTCTTGTCCTACAGAAGAGCTTTTGAGAACTGAACAGGTAATCTTAAAATAGAACATTGTTCTCACTTTTTAATGTCCACCTGTTGAGAGGTTGGGTTTCAAAAAAGCCCTTTTCAATAGAGTAATGGTCTCCTTTCCCTCAGCTCTTTCATAGGCATCCTGCCACATGAAAGAATGATCCTCCATGTCATCTTTCAGAGTAACATTTCACAGAAATTCAGGTCATCACCAGCAGAAATGATTTCACAGTGGGTTTGGAAATTCTGCATGTAGGAGAATAAAGGTGTGAGACCTTCTTTTGGTGTGCCTTGTCCTAGGTTCCCTGGCTGAAACAGGCAGGAATTTGGCCATGTAGCTTTTATGGGCACTGTTTTAAGCCTTTATACAAGCCACTAAGTCACAGCACGGATTTTCAAGTTTTGTTTTGATGGAGCTGTTATGTTACAATAGTAACATAAGATAACCAGAGGCTAAAATGCCTGTATGGGCTCTGAAACAATGCAGATTATCCTCGTGAAGTTTAACATTCTGTGGAGAACAAACTATTGCTGGTCCCTCTGGGTTTCTTTCCACAGAAGTCAAAAGGGGTTTGGCCTAGAAAAGAGCAGCTTGTACCCAAGTAGAGCTCCAAAGTGATGGAAGAGATTTGGTTTTTGGGTTTTTTTAAGAATTGACAATGTGAAGCCTACAGCTTTGTATAATGGCAAGGTTAACAAGATGAAGGTGACCTTATCACCAGACTTAGGGCAGTAGGAGCCTGATTATGAGTTCAGTACATCTTCAACAGAGCCAAGATCTTACCCTGGAACTCTTAGCACAAAAAACGGTAATGCATTTAAAATTATTTGATAAATTATCTGAGCTTTCCCCTGGACAATAAATATCTACTTGGTAAAAGACCCAACAGATTTAAACATTATTTACTGAGGTAAAACGACCTCTACAGACATGAATAATTTTTCTAGAGCTGTACTATTATTTGATTTGCAATGCTTAGCAAGTAATTTTTTCTGCAAATTATTTATCATGTCATGTGAACTATCTGTAGTTCTGTGATGTTACTCTTTGAAGCCTGTTGTATATTTTAATCACTGCTTTACAGAGTTAATGCCATTTAAGAGTTAATATATTCTTGTAAATACAAAATTAATTATAAAGTGTAATGAAGACATTTAAGAATTATTATTTGAGGCATCAGTAACATGCTTATGTGATGAACAGTGCAAGTAAGCCTTGTTTAACCTTTTGCAGTATCACACACACATTTGAAAAATAGAGCCTTTGCCCCAAGGAATATTTGTGTGAAGGAGAAGGGGTTTGGTTTACCAAAGCCTTGTTTTGATTCTACATAGAATGTTCCAAAGATAAACAATAATATTTATTAGACTTCAGACAAGCCAGAAGAAATAGTAGATAATATGTTCTAGGTATGAAAACTAGAAAAATATTTAAAAAGCAAAGAATTTTTATGAAGTTTTTTCTAGCAGCTATCTAATAAAGGCTCTCCCTTTGCTTTCTGCTGGACAACAAAGGAAAACAAAGCTAATTAAATGAGAGATGGACAGACAACAGACATGAGCCAACATGCCATGGACCTGTGCACCAGAGTGTTACAGGGCTTCTGCATCTCCCTGCAAACTGAGGCAGGTCCAGCTCTGCCTGCCAAGAGTGGGCAAGAGATGCCTTGGGATGAGCAGGCAGCAGCAGCCAGGGCAGGGATGTGAGCCAAGACCTGGCTGGGGGAATCTTTTCTTTTAGCATTCCCTCCAGGAATCACCTGGGCTGCTGGTCTGCATACAGAGCCCTCATTAGCACAGCAGCTGCCACTCAGGGAGCCTTGTCCAGCAGGGGAAAAAAAGGATTAA